CCAAGCACATTGTTGAAAAACACCATTCATATTGGTGAGATGTAAGTTCCACCCAAGCAGCTTCTTCCGATGAACTATTCTTCTGTGTAACCAACTCCCACGCTGTTGCTTTCTAAATCGCTACAATCTTAATCAATTCACGTCTAGTGTTAACAGTTATCTTGCCCTCATACTCTCATGAACTGTGCCTCTTACACCATTATCCTGAAATCTTAGGCCTTATACAGGGTGAACATCATTGTAAGAAATCTGAAACAAGGCGATAAAGCCACTAAATAATGAAAGAAACTGAGAAAACATTACTCAAGAGAAAATATAATAAAATAAATTACCATTTTCACTTAAGAATTTTAATTTTAAATTTCGCAGGAGTGTACACTACAAACTGGTAGCAAAACAGTTTATAAAATCATGCGAATTTTAAGATTAAAATTCGTAGGTGAAAATGGTCATTTACTAAAGGTATCTTAATTCCAACTGCAAAGAACATTTGATCTGTTTAATGAAAATAAACATGGAGCGCTCTTTTGTGAGTCAGTTTTAACATATTTCAAATTCTAAGTTGTGTTAATAGAATTCGCCAGTATTATGCCTGTAATATGCCAACGGATTACTACACACACACACACACACACATATATATATATATATATATATATATATATATATATATATATATATATATATAATCCTAAGGCCAGAGCAAACCTACTTAGGTTTCACCTAAACGGATGTTCAGAGTCAGGATTAACCTGATGATCCGTTTAGGTAAAACCTAGGAAGGTTTGCCTGGCTCCTTCGGATTATCTTAGGTTTTGCTCTAGTTAGTGTATTGAGCACTTTACGTAGTTGCCTTTTTACTCGTTTTGTTTTGTTTTTTTTCTTTTTTTTTCTTTGGACTTGGAGCTTAAAAACTGGACGATTGTTTTTGCCTTGTCTTAATGTTCTTGGTTCTCTCTTTTTTTATTCCCCATTTTTCTTCGGGTACCGATTTGTTCTACTGCAATATGAGCTATCCGAGGTTTTTCCAACCGAGTACCACCATTTATATATATAAATTTCGGAGCAGAACTGACGTGCATGATCAGCGATTTCAACGTGATATTTCATCAATGGAGATAAATTATCAAGTCAAATAGACTCTCTCAATTCTTGCTAACTCTTCTTGAATATTGAGATGTTTTATTTAACGACATGTGGCAAACGAAAAGGCGTAGAGAAGACACCAGTTACGGTCAGTGGTAATAACGTACCTTTTTTCTTTTGTCATTATGAATGCTGGATCAAATATTGTATAATTATTTCTTTAATTATACAGCAATTGAAAGACTTTTATACATATAATTGTTCATTTCAGAAGGTAAATCTATTGAATGGATGCTTCCTTATCGTTATTAACCTTTCACACTCTGTAGATGACTATTTTTACCAAGCAAAATATGTATCCTATCAATGCAAGTTGAATTTGAATTGACTTAGCTCTGTAGTTATATCTTTCTTTGGCAACACCTAAAACAATCTTGACTGAAATTGAGAACCAAGCAGCTGCAATTTCAAATATATAGAACTTATACATAAAACACTATACAGTAGAAGGGGAAGTAACGTTCATGAGTAATGCAGAGTGCTAAAAAGGTGAACGTATATATTTTAGAAAAACAGGCAATCGTCCATTTTCATTGCCATATTTGATTTCATAGCTTCAAGAAGCCTTATATTTAATACGATTCATCGGGAAGGAAGACAAGTTTTGAAAATTGTTGTCAGCAATCTATCTATCAATCGATCGATCGATCTATCTCTGTCGAAATCTCTCCATATATACCTGTATCTATTTTGATATATACACACACACACACACACACACACACATATATATATATATATATATATATATATATATATATATATATATACAAAGAAATAATCACACATAGAATCAATCAGCAATATTAATGCTATTATTGCTGACATCCATCGCTAGTAGTGTATAATGTATGCATTAAAATACTGTTAATCCATAGAGTGACGTGATCCTCATTTATAAAACTGTTATATATATATATATATATATATATATATATATATATATATATATATATATATTTCAGTCTGTTCCTATCTATCTCAGTATTGTCTTACACATACTTATTTTTTCTTCACTTTTTTCTATTTCTCTCTCTCTCTCTCTCTCTCTCTCTCTCTCTCTCTATTTATCTATCTATCTGTATCAGTCTGTTAATTATTTATCTATATTTGCGTCTCTGTCTATCTCTCATTCTCTGTTGTATGTACTTAGTTCACCTCTCTCAGTCTGTCTGTCGCTCTCTCTCTGTGTTTTCTCTCTCTCTCTCTCTCTCTCTGTCTTTCTCTCATTCCATTTGTCTATCTATCTATCTATCTATCTCTGTTTCTCTCTCACTCTCTATATACTGTCTTTCAGATAGTTATTTCATTTCTCTCGGTCAATCTGTTGACATATATATATATATATATATATATATATATATATATATAAGGTAAAAAAATCCATTAGAATATAATCCAAGTGGATCCTAGTTATATGAATCCACAAAAAAGAGCTCAATGTATTTTATTTATACAGAGCAATATAATTAATAATCAAACAAATCCTTTCACGTCATATGGGGAAGAGGCTATTTCGGTAGATGACGAAAGTGGTCGTATGTGTTTTCAAGTCCGGTGTGGAATGAAGTTCACGTCTGTAAGATTAGAGGAAATGGAAGACAGTATGAGTTGGCTGTGAGGAATTGATATTGGAAGTTAAAGAGTTAACCTAAAGTTTAACTTGCCGGAAACACCGACAACACTTTTCACTGTTTCAATTGAACGCGAGACCAGAGGCAGAGGTTAAGGAGGGTGGCAGTTATCTATCTTAAGAGGGAGAGTTTTTATTAAAGAAAGCCCAGAATATTAACCGTATGACAACAAATGGCTGGGGGTATTAGAAGAAAACACAAGTTTTAACTTAAATTTAAAATTAAAGAAGAAATTTAGAATGAATCTAAAAATAAATTTAATCGAATTTATAGATAAAGAAACTTAAGAGATTAGCGGAAAGAGAATTAGGTTTATAAATTATAATCAATATAGTATGAACGGTTTTAGAGAAACAGAGGAGTAACTTAGGTAAGGTAGAATTCCACTATAAAATTATAACTATTTTTTTTGTTTTTTATTCTTTATTTTTTTTTATGTCCACATTTGAGAAGTTAGAGAGGGTGGGAGTCGGGGAGTGATTTTGGGGAGCTAAATAAGGCAAAAGTATATTATGGAAATTTGAATTTGTTTTTATGTCGACAATTGAACAGGAATTCGTTCCTCTGGTTCAATAGTTGGATCACTATCGTATTTTGTTATTTTTTTTCTTTTGGGCATAAACCAAACCTATCTCTAAGACTATTTGGCGTTTTCGCAGAACCTATAATTTTCCAAACTATCTGTGGGTTTAAATTTTCGTCCTTCAATTCCCAAAATTTATTTGAAAGAGCTATCTTTTTCTCCCAAAGATCTTAGAGATAATTATTTCAGCTGTCTTAATCTGCCTTTTATCCATTCATCTATCTATCTATCTATCTATCTATCTATCTATCTATCTATCTATCTCAGGTTGTTCATATCTATCTATCTATCTATCTATCTATCTATCTATCTATCTATCTATCTATCTCAGATAACAGCCTTACAGATAAGTATTTTATATTATTTTGTATATTACGAGTATGTATAGATTTCTGCAAAAAGCTATGTAATGTTTCTGCTAATTTGCTAAACGCAGAAGATTGATCATTATCGACCTGCACAAATACTAGTCCGACTTCAATGAGCAGTCACGTTCAGATAATCACGATACACGCCTACACAATTAAGCAGGGCTTAGCATTCAAAAAGAAAACAATCGAAACTTGCAAGGTTTAGTCAAAGCAAAAGAAACAAATGTATTTTCCGTGGTTTTTGTTTAACAATGTTTAAAAACATATGGAAGTGAAGGTTGTATCAGTCCACATTTCACTAGAAAAAATTACGATATAAGGAAATTGAACAAAGAATATCCTACGTCAGGAGTAGTTTTGTCCATCACCGCAAGTTGCCATAAAACCAAAACGTTTACGTAAGAAATAGAGTTATGTTCTTAAATAGCCTCATCAGATCGATACTTTTATATGGATGTCATGCATGGTGCCAAACTTGTTCAGAAATATCTAAACTGTCAGCTGTGTACAACGGCTTTCTCAGATCAATGACTAAAAAAGGGATTCAAGGGATCATCCTTCATCGAACTTTGGGACCTGGGGGGGTTACAGAATCACGAACAATGAACTGATTTCATATTCTTTAATAACCTCGTCAGACCGTGACTTTCATCTGGATGTCCTCCATGATGCCACACCCATACTGAACTATCTTGTCATCAGCTGTATACAACCGCTTTCTAAGATTAATGATTCATAGATGGCTTCGAGCAAATGAAACCTCTCGGTCTTAGTTTAGACCCCATTTCTTCGAACCTCGTGGACCGATGTTACAGAAATCAGTAACAAAGAATTGTAGCAAATAACAGAGATGACGTTACATGAGGTTTTTTAATAACTAAAATGGATAGGATATATATCTTGAAGGGAAAATAATGACAGATGTTGGCGTTTGAATCTCGCGTCAATATTAGAAAGAAGGAAAGTTTACTTAAGAAACGTATTTTCCTGAAAATTTGTTTTAAGAGAAAAGGTTCTATAAAATTTCAACCGAATATTCTTAATATCTATTCAAGTTACATTACAAATATCTATATGTTTACATATTAGTATAAACGTTATATCTAATTCATACACATATTTGAGACTTACGGTCATATAGCACTAAAAAACCGGTTGCCGTAATATCATCGAAGTTAAGCAACGAAACTGGTTAGTACCGAGATGGGTGACCGCTTCGGATTGCCAGGTGTTGTAAGCTTGGATGTGCGAGGATTATAAATACCTTACAGCCATATCATGTTGAAACAACTGTTCTCGTACGATCACCGAAGTTAAGCAACATCGAGCCTGGTCAGTACCTAGATGGGTGACCGCTTGGGAGTACCAGGTACTGCTTGGATGTGTGGGTGGTGTAATGGATTCATACCTTTTCCCAATGCCATTTGCGCGTAAATGAATATAACAAAACCAACGTGAAATTGAACTCGGCTCTCCGACTAACAATTACAAACCATTATCTATTACACCACCTGCACACACTAGCTTACAGCAGCTGGTATTCCCAAGCGATCATCCATCTAGATAGTGAATATAATCGACGTTGCTTGACTTCGGTGATAGTAAGGTTTTGTCGTATTCTTCTTCTATGTGTAGAGTCCCCTTCAGAACATTGGCGTTCATGGCACTCCACAGTTTTCTGTCCTTCGTAGCTCTTAGTAAATTTTGTCTTTTTATTATCTCTCAGAAACCCAGTTCCCCCGTTCATTTACTCAAACTTGCCAGGTAGGAAATGCTTTGTTTTCTGTTTCTTTTAACTTCAATCTGTCCTCTGAGTATCACATTTTCCAAGCCTTCTTTCTTCCTTATGTGCCATAGAAATTTTCAATTATCTCTTTCAAATCATAAGCACAAGCGTCCTTTTTGTTTCCATTTTCTGTAAGATATCGTCATTATTCACATGTTCGGTTCATGGAATTCTCAGCATCCTTCTGTAAAACTACATTTTTGTTGCGTAAAGTCTCTTCGTTTATCCACGTAGAGATTATCCACCAATCACATCATATAAGAGGAATTATATTAAGTAACAGTTCAGTACACTTTTCATTGTCTCTAATGTAAGGTTTCTTAGCTTTTAGAAGGCATGTTTCGCTATGCGCCCTCGGATTTACAAAACTGCTCTCATTTAACCAATATAAAGAAACTTATCTGTCCGCTATAAGCATGGCTAACGCTAGATTCCTGGAAAGCATCACACTTCCCTTTCTTGGCCTCACGTTTTCAGCTGGCTTGAAGTAGAGCAACTACATCGAATCAACAGCTGCATCTATTGCAAGAAATGCTGGGTCACTGTGTCGTGCCAAAAGATTTTTTTCGTGACAATCTATCTTGCAGATTTACAAATCTACCATTCGTCCGTGCAATGAATACTGTTGTCATATCTGGTCTGGTGCTCCTGCTATTCATCTTAAGGTTCTTGAAAAAAATCCAAAGAAGGATCTGCAATGTAATCGATCCTGACTTTGTATCTCGGCTTCAGTCACTTTCTCCCTCTGTCTTTTCTATAAATATTTTCATGTCAACTGCTCTAACAAGCTTTTTTTCTTCGTGCCCCGAATACAGGAATTTAAGCGTGCTACTAGATTAGCATCTAAGCCCCACGCTTTTACAGTTGAAATAGTTAAATGCAACCGCCACTTCTACTCCAACAGTTCTCGCACTTCCTGCCTGTGGAACACCCTTGTGTTTACTTGCTTCGCTGATAATTACTATCGTCAAAAATTTAAATGTAACATCTTCTTGAATTCCGTTCATCTTTTGGCCTTTCCTCAATCCTCAGTCTTTTCTCTGACCTTCACTCTATGTAGTCACCTTCCTGTGTAGTAATGGCATTCACGCCTTACTTAGGGTGGAATGATTAAATAGAAATTTGAAAAATATATTTAAATTTCTGTACTTGCTTGATTTTGGTATCTCCAATTTGTAATTTGCAGGTTGGGTTGTTCTTTTTTGTTTACAATCATACATTCTGTCTTGCATCTAATGTTTAGTCTCTTTCTTCTCGATTTCCTTCGCTACCTACTGTAGGAGTTCTTGCTGTTTACTTTCTGTCTGCTATCAGCACTGTGTCATCTGCATATCTTAGGTTGCTAAGGTTTGTCGTAATAATTTAAACTGTTTGTACTTGTCTATCTTATTGCACTAAGGTTTGTTACGTAGTACGGCTCGAAAGGATAAGACAAGATATGGATGATTTTTAAATTATGGCTTGCTCAAAAATTGGCTCTTCATGAGCATTCCCTGCAAGTAAGATGGTAGACTGATTCATTTACTTTTTTAAGAAATTTTTGTTCGATGAAAAGTGAAGCTCGAGGAGAACCTTCGCAAAGAAAAGAAAACGAATAAATTATTTTTTCATACTAATACAAGGCCCAAGACCTACTCAAGGTAGAGTTCTACTCTGTAGTACTATATGAGCATATTTAAAGTCAAGAAGAAAGTGGGTACCTCGAGGTGGTGTAATAATTAGCAAGCTTGTCTCATTAGATTCATTATGATTGAGTAGTGAGTTCGATCCTCACTTGGTGCTCCATACTTTCGGCCTTGTGCCACATCTAAGCTGCACTTGGAAAATCACTAAAGGCAAGAAGAAATATGACGTTCAACTCTAGACTTGACTCTGAAAACATCCTGTTCCACAAAACGAGAAACAAGAAAATTATTGAGTGAAACTTCCTCCTTACTCACGGAATACGAATAGAATAGAAATTATTTGTACGCAGCATGGATGGTCCCAGTTGTGAAGTGGTGAGACTGAGGAATGTAGCTCGTTAGAACACATGTCATGGAAAAAAAAACGATAAAGCAGCGAGGGGGAAACGGGTTGTAGGATGTAAATTAATTCATCACCCACAAGTCCGCGCAGACGCTTTTGAACTCTATCAAAACAGGTAAGTGAGGACTGGGCAGCCCAGCAATAATTCAATTTTGGTCTGATTTGGCTTTTGTAAAGATAAAACATAGCAGTGATGTAGATACCAGCATCTTAAGCATGGAGATAGGAGTTCCACTTGAGGTCTAGGGAGGGCTTGAGTCCCAAGAGACGTTTTAACACCAGGAGACCCCTTGAGAGAGAGAGGTCTATACCACCAATGATAGGTGAAAGGGTTAGGGTCTCCTCAGTGGTAGTGGAAAGTTACTAGTTTGGTTTTTGCCGTATTGAATTTTACAAACGAGTCATTCTCCGATTGAATCACCTGCGGTAGGTCAGAGGAGACAGGAACTGCTTGGTTCGTTTCATCCAGATTTGCTGGAGGCTCACCTATAAACCACTGCACCATCCGCAAGAAGAAGAAGAAGAAGAAGAAGGAAATGAAGAAGAAGATAATAATGAAAGCAAGAAGCAGAAGAAAAAAAAATGAATAGAAGATGATGATGAATAAAAGCAAGAAGATGAATGAATGAAAGTAAGAAAAAGAAGAATGAAATCAAGAAGAAGAAAAAAAATGAAAGCAAGAAGAAGAAGAATTGATGTACGAAGAAGAAAAGGAATGAAAGCAAGAAGAAGATGAATGAAAGCAAGAAAAAGACTGAAAGAAGAAGAAGAAGAAGAAGAAGAAGAAGAATGGAACTAAGAAGAACAATGGGAGCACAAAGAAGAAGAAAAGAAGAAGAGGAAGATTTGTAAGTAAGAAGAAGAAGAATTAAATTAAGAAGAAAAAGAAGGAAAGCGAGAAGAAGAATGCAAGAAAGAATAAAAAGAATGTAAGCAAAAAGAAGAAGAATGAAATCACGAAGAAGAAGAAGAAGGAGAAGAATGGAAGCGTCAAGAAGAAAAAGATTGAAAGCAAGAAGAAGAAGAATAAAAACAAGAAGATGAATGAAAGTAAGAAAAAGAATGAAATGAAGAAGAAGATGAATCAAAGCAAGCAGAAGAATGCAAGAACGACGAATAAAAGCAAGAAGAAGAAGAAGAAGAAGAAGAAGAAGAAGTAAGAAGAAGAAAAAGCAAAAAAATGTAAGTTATAAGAAGAAGAATGAAGAAAGTAACACAAAGAATGAAAGCAAGAAGGAGTACGAAAGTAATGAGAAAAAGAATGAAAGCGAAAAGAAGAATACAAGAAAGAAGAAGAAGAATGAATGAATGCACGAAGGGAATGAATAGAAGCAAGAGGAAGAAGAATACAAAAAGAAGAAGAATGAAACAAGAAAAAAAAAAGAAGAAGAATGAAAGAAGAAGAAAAGAAGAAGAAGAAGAAGAAAAGAAGAAGAAGAAGAAGAAGAAGAAAAGAAGAAGAAGAAAGAAGAAGAAGAAGAAGAAAAAAAGAAGAAAAGAAGAATGAAAAGAAGAAGAAGAAAAGAAGAATGAAAAAGAAGAAGAGATGAAAAGCAAGAAAAGAAGAAAAAAAGAAGAAGAAGAAGAAGAAAAGAAGAAGAAGAAGAAGAATGAAAGAAAAGAAAGAAAAAGAAGAAGAAGAAGAAGAAGAAGAAGAAAAAGAAGAATGAAAGCAAGAAGAAGAAGAAGAAAAAGAAGAAGAAGAAGAAGAAGAAGAAAAAGAAGAAGAAGAAGAAGAAAAAGAAGAAGAAGAAAAAGAAGAAGAATGAAAGCAAGAAGAAGAAGAAGAAAAAGAAGAAGAACAAGAAGAAGAAGAAGAAGAAGAAGAAGAAAAAGAAGAAGAAGAAAAGAAGAAGAAGAAAAAAAGAAGAAAGAAAGAAGAAGAAGAAGAAAGAAGAAAAGAAAAGAAGAATGAAAGCAAGAAGAAGAAGAAAAAAAGAAGAAGAAGAAGAAAAGAAGAAGAAGAAGAAGAAAAGAAGAAAAGAAAAAGAAGAAGAAAGAAGAACAAGAAGAAGAAGAAAAAAAAAGAAAAAGAAGAAGAAAGAAGAAGAAGAAGAAAAGAAGAAGAATGAAAAAGAAGAAGAAGAAGAAGAAGAAGAAGAAGAAGAAAAAAGAAGAAGAAGAAAGAATGAAGAAGAAGAAGAAGAAAAAGAAGAATGAAAGCAAGAAGAAGAAGAAGAAGAAGAAGAAGAAGAAGAAGAAAGAAGAAGAAGAAAAGAAGAAAAGAAGAAGAATGTGAGAGCAATAATAATAATAATAATCGTAAACACAGACTAAAACAGAAAGAAATCGAAAACACGGAAAAGAAAGAGAGAGAAATGTGATGGCGACTCGAAGTCGAGATTGTAATATTTCGTTTCCCTTAGTGGAATATCGATTACTGGCTTTGCATCAATGGCAACTTCTTGAGAGAAAAAAAAAAGAGTAAAAATGGGGAAAATAAGAAACATGACATTAAAAAAATCCTACTGGACAAACTTTAAAGGTAAGTTGGCATTATTTTCTTGAAGATTAATTTCATTAACTCTTCTTTTATAAATTTGTTTCGTGTTTTTGATTCTAAT